CCCCCCCCAAATCTATTTCACTGGAAGGATTAAACAGAACAGCAGTCCTTTTCTCAAGCTGCTTAGTTCTTTCATAGCAAATAAGGAGAGACTTGAGTGTGAATATAGACTTTTGTAATGCATATAAAGGGCCAGATTGTGGCTATTAAGCCATAGCCTGCACTGGAGGGGGTGAAGAAGGGTCTCATTGCAATGGAAGCTCCTGAAGGAAATCTTGCTGACTCAGCCAGAATTCTTTGAGGGACTTCCTGGGAACAAATGTTGGCTGTCCAGAAAAGACACTTTTTAGTGGGTACAGCAGTTGTCATCCATCCCCTGTCCTGTTAGGTGTCTGTGTGGAGCAGAGCAGGCCTATGGCCATGTTTATTTTACCAGCTCTGTTCTCAGTGCAGAGTATTAGCAGTACAAACAGAAAAAGCTGCCTGGCTGAAAGAGGGAAAGTTCCTTGCATCTTTCCTCTCTTTCTCTCATTTGTGTATCTCAAGTATTGCTCCCCTGCACAACACCCTGCAACTTTTCCTGGAAACTGTCATTTTATACTGAACAATTCCAAGAAGAAGGGCAGAATGAGCTGCCAACCAAGTTTAGCAGGAAATGATGGAGCCTTCAGGAAAGGGTAGTAAGGGAGAAGAGAGAAGTCTCACTTGTCTGGGAAGGTTCCTGTCCTGTGCAGAGCTAAGCGGGCAGGTCCTGCTCCACCCCCACTTCCCCCACCTGTGTGGGCTTGGCCTGGAAATTCCTCCCCACCATCATCACCCACTCACTGGCTCCAGCCCACAGCAAAGTTGGCTGTTGCTTCACTTGCACATCCCTTGCGTACATCTGAACAAATGTGGGCACAGCTGAGCTGAAATTCAAAGCTTGATCTATTGTCTTCTTTAAAGAGTTGTGATTTTATGTTTTTATGTTTGTACAGCATAGGAATGATTTTATTTCAAGCTAAGAATACTGTTTGTAAGTATGAATGCAGTGCAGTACAGACACTTTCACTCTTTGTGAGGTTTTGAACAAATTGATATGTTTTCCTTCTCCTGCAAACTTTTTCAGAAGTTTTTCTTCATGCCTGCAGGCCAAAATACGTCAGCAACTCTGCATAATAGTGTGTTGTAAATAACTGACCTGTAGTCTTCACACATTCACAGATTTTATAGTGTAAAGCACAGAGTAAACCTGTTCTGATGTAGTGATTTCTCTTTTCAGTTTGACACAGGTGATCCGAAAGTTTGCAAAGCAACTGGATGAGTGGCTGAAAGTAGCTCTTCATGATTTACCAGAAAATCTACGAAATATCAAATTTGAATGTATGTTTTGCCCAATTTCTCTCCTATTAACCTGGGATGTATATAGTGTTTATTGATTACAAATTAATTGGAAGTGAGACTAGTGTTCTTTTAGAAATTAAAACCTGTCAGCATTATAAAACTTGCATTCACTTACAATCTCCACTTGTTCATGAGAACCAATTTCATTTAGTGAAATGAGGCACTGCTCAAAATGAGAAGAATTGCTTTTCCTTTCTTGTAGATTCTGATAAGAAATTAATTTTGTTGATAGTAAGCAAACATTAGGGATGATATTAGGCAAAGGAAATTATTAAACAAACCTTTAGGCTAGCACAATTTGAATACAGCTTGAGGCCCTTACTCAAAAAAGTGCCAGAGTTAAAAATGAAGGAGATCAAATTACCCTGTCACCACAGGAAAGGGCACTAGTCCTTTTCAGACGTGCTTTGTAGATGCCTGCAGTGCACATCACCTATTGATAAAGCCTGCTTTATTTCACGGCTCTCAATTCTTTGCCTTTCATGAGCACTAAATTCCACACCACAAAGTTAAAGGAAAGAAAAAAAAGAAACCTAATTTAGGAGAAGGATTAACTATTTTGATCAGCATGGAAAATTAGGTGTATATTTTACTGAGAACAGTCAGGATGTAAGTTGGAATGACTAATTGTAGGGGGTTTTGCATTGTTTACTAATTTATTTTAAAAGTTACACAACATCAGAACTCACCATATGCTTTATCACATTTATGTCAGTTCAAAAATATCAAGAATCTGCAACAGCAAAATCTTTTCTGATCTTACAGGGAGAGAGAAAGAGACGGAAAATACACTTTGTAATGATTCTTAATCTGTACTCTTTAATTGCCTCTACATACAGTACAGAGGGAAAACCTACTCTGTGGCCACATCTAATGCCTGTTTGGATAGATCTGCAAGTCTGGTGATTTTAATATAAGGAAAAACCTGAGAGCATCCTAGCTTTTCCATGAGCTTTTGTTGCTTCTGCAATTGTTTCTTCCTCATCAGAATTTGTGATTAGTGTACACGGCCAGTAGAGGTACTAGCAGGAGTAACTGCAAGCCTTGGTCAGATTTGCAGTTCCTGAGTCACAGATTTCAGAAAATAGATGCCCAATACAACATTTTAAAATCCAAGTATAGGAAATACCTTAATACAAGGTCCAGATTGCTTCATAAGAGGTTAAATTTCATAAGAGATTAAGTAGGAGCAGAGGACTGGTAAGTACCTCTGGGGCCATCTTAGCCCATAGCATGTTAGTACATGATGTAATCTCCTCCAGAAACTTTGATCAAATGCTACCTGAAACTGATTTGAACTCCTACTAGTCTAGTTGGAAGGCTCCTCCAAAACTTGTTTGCATTGAGACTTTGCAACCTTTTCTAATTTCCACACATAATCTAGCTATCATTATTTTATGCCCACTTGTTCTTGCACCAACATTTTTCTTTCTATTAAATAGTTCTTTCGCGTCTTCAGTTCCTTTGTGTACTAAGAGAAAATTTGCTATGCTGAACAAGAGAAGCTCTTCCATTGTCCTCTACATTTCTCTTGTCACCTCATTATTCACAGCATCTATAAATCATTGCTTGTAATACGGCTCTGTAAAACTGATTGAGCATCCAGATTTAAGGTTTTAGGTCAAGGTTTAAACTAAGTTAAAACTGGGCTATTTGAATGAACTTTATGTAGCCACAACTGTATATAGGAAACTGGATATATTTTTTTGGTTCTTGTTTTAAATTAGTATTTTCAGAAATAATTTTATTTATTTAGCACAGTATGTACATATGTATCTCTTCTTTCCTGCAGTATCCAGAAGATTCTCACAAATACTCCGGCGACAGACATCATTAAATCATCTGTGCCAAGTAAATATTTCAGTTACCCAAGTTTGCTGAATGCCATTTTTACTGACTTTTCAAATAATGTTGTGAATTGACAGGCTGAACTTTTACCCAAAGAGGAAGAGATCATGTTAGCAGTTTGTCTCCCATATTTATTGTGACCATCTTTAAAAAATCAAAAAGTAATCAGCAAAAAATGCTTCTCTAGACAACTGGAAACCCCTGATCATTAAATTCAGCAAGGAACTTTTATGAAACAAAATTATTATTTGATTTGAAGAGATGGTTCACTTCCATTAAATAAATGAGAGGCATTCCTTTGCTTTCGGAGTGGTTTGTATCAGGCCTTTTGCAAAGCAAGAAACATTTCTATATGCCTGACAAAAAGTCAAATTCTAATTGTATATTATAAACCAAATGCAATTAGTAAAAAACAAAATGGTTGAACCACCGCGGTTTTAAATAGAAATATTCTTGCAGCCATAGCGAGTGAATATAAAAACTGCTCTGAAGTGTTTGTTTTTCACCAGTTAGTTTAGGTCACAATTACCTGCCAAAAATTCATGAGGCCAAATTCTATGCAGCATAAAAAGGAGAAGGATGCATTGAATTCATCGATGTTTCTCCCATGTATTGGTGCAGACTGTTTGTTTTCCCTGTCACACTGAAAGCTCCGCATTTGGGAGGTGTATCCAACACCCCAGGTTAACCCTGTGAGTGGGAAGCCTACAGGAAGAAGCTCTGGGGGAAAAAACCACTCCTGCAAGGACTTATTTGTAGATTTCTTCCTCCATTATTTTAGTGGTGGAGGCAGAGATGCCAGTGCTACATTTCCACAAACACTGTGGATCATCACTGAACTTTGGAGGTCCATAGCGATTCAGAGGAAATCAAGGTACAGGGACCACAACCTTCTGCATCAGACCTGGGATCAAACAGTTTATTTTCATGAAGGACTCTTCAAATACATCAATTCCTTGGGAAGCTGATAGCCTTGTGCAGGTTATCATCTCTGCTTAACTTACAGAGATCTGGTGTATGTTACATGATCATGATTGTGTGTCACTTCCTTTCCTCTCAGCCCATCCTCCTCATTATCAACAGCAGACCCTTGTCTCAACCAGCCGAGAAGCAGATCTGATGTGGAGGCAAATGAGCTTTAACCTTTCATGTGGCTGAGGGAAGACTGAGAGTCTTCATAGTTTGGGACAGGGGAGAGTGAAAACCTTAGTGGGGTGGTTTTGGGGTTTTTGTTTTGTTTTGATTCGATTTTTCTTGTTGGTTTTGGTTTTGAACTGATTTTTCTTGTTGGTTTTGAACTGAAGCTGGTCAAGAAAACCAACAGAGCTGTTAGAGACTGAGGAATCTAGCAACAGCACCACCAGATGAGGGTTGCTTATTGGGTTTTGTGGTGGATACAAGCAAAATACTTGTAGTTGATTAAAGTAGGCATGACTCTGTGGTTAGAGGGCCCTGTAATGTCCATAAGACATCAAGCTGGTGGGTGAGGGTGCATAAGGAGAATCAACTTAGCGAGCCTAGCTAAGGAAGCGTAAAAGGGGATAAAGCCTATTTTTTAACCTAATAAACCATGAACTAATGAATAGATTGGATTGGATTACAGGCATCAAGAACGGTGATCCACAGTGCAGACATCACATTTCAAATGCTGGAGGACTGGAGGAATGTGGATCTGAATAGCATTACCAAACAAACCCTCTATACTATGGAGGATTCACGGGAGGAACACAGAAAGCTCATCATACAATGTAAGAGCAGAAACCTCAAATAAAGCCAGGTGAACTTGGTTTCCTGCTGGAAACAAAGCTCAGTGAAAGTAACACTGTTTTAGCAGCCATTGGTTTGCTTGGAGGCTTAAGATAAATATCGAGACATTTATCAAAATGTAAGGCAATGCCCTGTCAAGGTCTTATGTTTTGAGGCATAGATCTGGGCACTCTTCCATTAACGAGTTTCTTTCTAGTATCCAGAAGAGCCAATGGCACAAAACTTGCACCCAAGGGATTGGATGATCAGGATGATTTTTTTTCTATGAACCTGAGCAAAATAGACTTAGGACTTAACCATTGAATCTAATAAAGTCCAGTCTCTTCTGCTGTAGAATTGCAGGAGAGTTGTCTTTTGAATGGCTTTGACACTAAAGTGACTTTGTACATTTGAGTCCTTTGTAAACCTCTATTTATAAAAATTTCCATTTTACAGAGTGTTTTCATAAACAAAATCATTTGATGGGGTAAGCTCTGAACTTTTATGAATAATTAGAAGTCCCATATCAAGCAAGCTCATTGGCTAATTTAGATTCTGCCTAGTATAGTGAAAAGCATGAACTGAAAAGTGACTTTGGAGATGTTGGCAATTTGGTTTTAGAGTCAAAGGTCTTTTACAAATATAAAATGTAACTTGCATCATCCAGCAAGTGGGCATGGTATAAAGCTTAGGTGTAACCCTAAGCACACTAAGTTTGTCCCTCTGAGGCACTATAGGTGGCCAGCTTTGTCTTTAGCATCGTTCATAACCTTAGTTCCCTGTGAAGCCACCTGTTGTATTGCCATCTCTCTCCTGAGGAGGACCAGTCATCTTTTATCCAGAACCAGCCTTAAGGGAGAGCAACCCAGGCAACCACTTGTGGGAACCCTGCAAGGGTAGGTCTGCTAGTGGGGTAACTCTTTCAGTGAGTGGCTGGGAAGAGGAGGGGTGACACCTTCACATGCACACTGGACCCTGCAAGGTTGACTTTGGCACTCATCCCACTGTGTTAACACTAAAAGTCTTCTCCCCAGTTTAGGAACAGGCCTTGCATTCTCTATTAGCTCTGTTTTCCAGCGAGAGGTGCTTGGTCCTCTTTCCTCTCCTACTTAACCCTTGATTCTTTTCCTGACATGGCCCTCTTCCCTTTTGAGGAAATAGAAACTTGACATGGCAGCAGGGGAGGTAGCGTATAGTGAGACTGGAGTCCAGAAGCTGGGTGCATCCTTCTGTCATCTGTTATATTTTCAATATCTACACGACATCCTCCCACTATCCAAAGAAGAAAGAGTTCTCAAAGTTATAATCCCTAGTAGCAGCAACAGTTTGGGCTCTCATTCAGAAAATCCTTACTGTTTAGGAAATCTTTTCATTTGTGAACTATTTAAATACAAACTCAAATGTAGTTAAATCAAGTGGAATTTTCCCGGATGCTAGTGGATTTGGACACATGTTTTTCCATATTTTAGGCCCATATAGTCTAATAAGAAATTACCCCAAAACAGTAACCTAATATGAATGTTCATTGTAAAATGGGATTCTACTGAGACGTGCAGACATGTATAGAGATTATTCTAGATTTCCTGCCCCATCTTTGATGTTTATTCTACTTGGCCAAAGATCTTTTAAAAGATCACACTCTGTATGACTCGTATGACATGGAATTAAGGCCTGCTTTCACATTCTTGGTATTAATAACCAAGAAAGTACAATTTCCAACTACTGTACCTGGAAAAAAAGTTTATAAGCCTATAAGCAAGCTTGGAGAAAAACAGAGAAAAATCACTGGGTATAAGAGAATCTCTTTCCTGCTCTGCTGTGGTAGCTGTCTCTGACATGGTTTCTCCTTTATTCCCTCTTTCTCAGATCCTGTGGAGGTATTTTTAACAGTCACTAAAGGCTAAACAGTTACTTTTTTCAAATAGGTTGTTGTACACAGTTGCATTGCTCCAGCAGCAAAGCAGGCAACTGATTTGTTTTTCCACTCTTGCTCCCCTCTTTGCACAGCGTATGAATTACTTCATCTGTTGTATCAGGCAGTTTTTGTCCAGCAAATACTCAGGTAAGGAGACAACATTTAGATTTCTCTGTGATCCTGTTCTGAATAAAGAGAGGTTGCCCATTCAATGAAGCAAGATAAGGGTGGCCCAAGCATCATTTTTTCCCTTCTTCCTCAACTAATGTTTCTGACCATCCAGCCTTTGCAAGTCTAAGTTAAACAAAGTTCAAGTCAGGTTTGAAGCAAATGCATTTCTGCTCGTCTTGCTGACCCAACTTGGAGACCAGGGAGCTTGTTCTTTGCATTATTCTCGGACAGCCTCTCTGGCTCACTTCTCTAGCTATCATCTCTAAGCTTTGCCTCCTCCACCTTTATCTTTCCTATGTTGGGAAATTCTTTCCTCCTGTTATTTATAATTAAGCACAAATGGAAGTGCATAGCACATTGAGATCATCCTGTAACACAGAAGGTAGAAAGTATCTTTCTTCTTGACTTACTGGGCCTTTTATTTTAGCTGAGTTGAAGAACAGTTTCTTAAGGTGTCAAAGCACATGATTCTTTGTCTTCTATTCATTGATTCTCATAAATAAACTACAGATTTGCAGTTTTAAGAGCTGCAGCTGAATGACAATTATTTTTAGTTTCTGTATTAAAATATGAATATGTGTGCTTGGGAGAGGTTAAAAAGTATTCAGGTTGCTTTTGGAAACTCTTCTTAATAAATTCAGTATAGATTTGTGCATTGGTAGCAATTTGTTTTGAAGAAGGAGAAGTTTATAGAAATTCTTTGTGTGTGTGTCTGGCATTGCAAATAGATGATTTGCAGCAGTTAAATCATGTTTTTGCAACTAAAGCATTATACAGATGAGAGCCCTATCAACAATACTCAACCACTTGGTGCTTAGAAGAGTCTTTATGCATTTCTAAATCAATTTCATGCATGACCTTTTTTCATCATCAGGGTCAAGGCCTAGCTTCACACTCTTCGTAGAGAACACCATAAAAGTTTCACTTCCGGGCACACCAGACAGCTGAAGCTTAAATCAAAAGATTAATTTTAAACAATAGGTCCTGATTTGCTCACATTAAAATACCACTTCCAATGACGCCGATACTTTCAGTAGAAACAAGAGACTAAGCAAACTTACCAGGTCAGCACCAAGAAAGATGTATTTGTTACAGCTAAGCAATCTGTTATAAAAACCACAGCAAACTTGTGATGTTTTTTGTGACTTGTTTTTCTTTGGTTCAAAATGGAATCCAAGTACTGAGGTGGGCTATTTTTTTCTTTGTCTGCCAGTATATCAGGAGTTTGATCACCTTCTGGAGGAGCAGTCCCCCATTGAGTCATACATCGAGTGGCTGGATTCCATGGTGGACAGATGTGTTGTAAAGGTTGGTAAGCAGGAGTAAGGACCTGAGTGACTGATGTGCACTATGAACTCTATTTAGCAAAATTAGAAAGAAAAAAAAAAAAGCCAGGTATTGGTAATAAGCAGGAGGAAAGCAGCAGCGGGTAAAATCTCACCAGTTTTCATGCTCAGTATTGAGAACTGCTCACATTCAGAATTCTGCTTTTTTGTGCTCTTGTCTAGTCTTTCCCAAAAGATGACATTCAAGAATGGAAGAGGGTTGAGGTTTCCAATCAAACTAATATATCAGGAGTATGGAGAGATTAATTCAGAGTCATCCTAACTACATAGTGCAAATAAAAATCACCTTTTAAGATTTTAATGAAAGGGATATTTAGGCTAGCTAATTCATTTATATACATGCAAATGTGAGGATGAAAGTCTACATTACCATTTGGTCAAGAACACATTCATCTTGCCTTTTGAGCTGATTTGGGATACCAAGGACTTTTATTTTATTTTAATTTAAGTGCATGCAGAAACCTACTAACAAATCTTTAAAAATTATTTTCAAAAGTGATCAGGCATCATCATAATTTTACACAGAGTATGAAACTATATGGCTGACTTATTTTAACTTCTGTCACTAACTATACTTTGTATTAGGATGTTCTATTAGAATTTTGACTCTTCATTCCAGTTGTCAGAGCTAAGAAGTAGAAAAAGAATTAAAAATATGCTGCCTTTCTCTCTGCTGCAAAAAATCTGTACAGAAAACAACAGATATTTCCCCAAATTACTTGAAATATTTTGATAGTTTTGGGAAACTTTTCTTTTAGTCAGTGGAATGCAATTTGGAATTCAAACCATAACTGTTAATTTTCATGAAGAACTTGACATGAATTTTATTAGCCAATTGGATGAACCTAATTCTTTAACTCACATGTGGCTATGGTAAATACATTTTTGAAGAGTTGATGCCTAAAATGTGCATTCTGGAAAGTATTATTGCTAGTAAAATAACTATGTGAATTCACAAAAAAACCCCAAACCATGAAGGAACAAAACATTTTTTATTCAATAGTAGACTCTAATTGAAATATTAATATAAATTTTCAGTGTAGATCAAGCATTCTTGATTATAAATCACTTCCTTGACTAGGAAGCAAGAATGAACATGTAAATAATTAGGTTAAGATGAAGATCAGAGCAATTTTTTGGCAGTCCTTTCATAATTTATAAAGAAAATTCAGGCTTTGTATTTGAATAATACTTTATGACTTCCTCTTCCTGAAGGTTGTGTATAGTTACAAGGTGGCTTTCTGTGTAAGGTTTTTTGTTGGTTTTTTTAATTATTAGTATTTTTAGTATATATGTTTACATGAAGATAGTAAGTAGTTTTTCAGTATAAAAAAAGAAGACAAATATGTGCGATCATTCAGCAGTATTGGACGGTAGAAATACAAATTTCTCTATGTCAGATATATCTGTTTTCTTGCAGGTAGCTGCCAAGAGACAAGGCTCTTTGAAGAAAGTAGCTCAGCAGTTCCTCTTGATGTGGTCCTGTTTTGGCACTCGAGTGATTCGGGACATGACTTTGCACAGTGCACCCAGCTTTGGTACTTTCATTTTATTGTAATAACTGCATGCCACAGCCAAAAAAATCTGTATCCTGGCTTGTAATGTACAGTTTAAGTGAAACCATAACCAGTTTTCACATGTCCAGGGCTCTATTAAAAAAAAGAGCTGGGACTACTGACATTTGGAAATAATGCTCAGGCAGATGTCTGTCTGCAGGATCTAGCCAGGGGAGCTGAAAACATTACTACTGCCTTCTGTTTGTTGTTAGCTGGTAGTTGGAGTTATCAGTCCCAGGTCAGCTGGAGGAGTTGATTACAGGAGCATTCCCTAATGCACTGCAGTGCAAAGTGAGCCTGGTTACCCAAACCACTCTGACCACGTGTTATGCTGAGAGAGATGACTTTGCACTGAAGTGGATGAAAAGCTCTCCAGTGAACCACTTGGCCAGCTCTGCTTTTAAAGGACGTAGCATTTTAAACTAGTCTTTGCAAAATGAGTGTGTTTCTATACCCTGGACAGATTCTCTTCCATTCTATTAGAATTCAGTCAGGGTGGAAAATCAGACTTTTACTTTTTGAATGAAGTATTTTGGTTTTCTCCAGTTTCAAAAGGGTCTTTGTCTTGAATCCTGGGATACAAACAGTGCAGATTAAAATTAGTTAAAAGCAGGAAAAAAAAAAGGAATGGTTGAAAATGGACTGTTGTGTCACAAATGTGAACATTTGCAGTTACTTGGGACCAGATTTTGCATGAGGGATGGTTTTTATAAAAGCACATTTGTCAGAATATGTCAGTAGAAGATTAATAATGAATTTATGAAGGCACTGCATTGGACAACTGCAAGGTTTTCTGCCAACTGAGCCTTGATATCCTTTGTGCTTTTAGAACCATCTAATAGCATAAATTCAGATACCATCAGAGATAGGTACAATATAATTTGCATTTATATTTTAATCTGAAACTACTTTCATTGGCTTCCCATTGTAAAGAGTTTTCCAAACAGGTATTACTGAGTCACCATTAGACATCAGAATAGTGAGCATCCCCAAGATGATCACAATTTCCATCTGCTGGCTTGTGTTTTCAGCACCAGTATCCTCTGGTCACATCTATTTTCCACCTCCTCTAGGACTTATTTTCTCCTTGAGTCACTGCAGCTTTTCTTTTGCTGTGGGCATAAAAGTAGCTGATACTGCTTAACAGCATACTTTCCCCCAGTGGTCAAAAATCCTTTTGCACATTGAATAAATGCTGAATTTTGTTTTCTAGTGCTTTGGGTTGCTACGCTTCTCTCTGTAGACATAATCCCAACCTGTGAAACACATGTACCCAACAAATGAAAAAATACCCTGCATTAGTGCAGTGTTGAGGTTACGCTGTTACAAGTCATAAAATGCTGACATTAAAGTGCCTGTACAGATATGTTATTGCCACTGAGTTGCACATTACAACATTATTTTTATTCCCGTTCAGGATATGTTTGTTACCTAATCAAGCGTTCTCTGTTTCAAAGCATCGGTCACCAAAACCTCTTTAATCAAACAGGGATTCCCCAAATAGTTAATAGACCACCAGGAGCCTGGAAGGTCTGTAGAGTGATCCTCAGCTGTGGTTTTTTTTACTTATTAACAGAAACATTTTTGAGCGTGCCATGTAGTGAGAAAATGTGAAGATTGAGAATTATTCATGGGTTTGAGTTTGGGACCTACTATAATATAATATAATAATATATCAGATCTACCAAAATAACTTACCTGTTGTCTCTGTTATAAATTTGGGTCTTGAATTTATTATTTTTGAGAACTTTAACTGCTCAACTAAATTTGTAGGGGGTTGACTTTTTTTTGTGGTTTTAGTCCGCTGGGAATATGTGTGCATACAAAATGCGTGATTCTCCTTCTTACATGGACACAGACCTTTGAACATGAATGTGATATGTTTATATGTAACTGTAGTAAGGGAAAGAATGTACTGGTCATAGCTGATGTGTTTTTTATGGGTGTATGGTGTTATAATTAGAACTGGATCAATAATTGCTTTTCAATTTGGTAGCCAAAGCAAGAGTTTAAAAAAAAATAATCATTCTCAGTGTGAAGCTGAGATAGTTTGGGATTTTAATCAATTCAGAAATCTGTCTTTATTTAAAAAAAAAAGGTAAAATCAAAGAGAATTCTTTTGCATCTGCAATATTTTGGTCCTTAGACCACAGTTGCCTGCCTCAGTAGTCTTGAATCAGTGTTAGTCACTGCCAGAGCAAGATTTCTAACCAAAAGGCTAGAGGATTTGTCCTGCAGGAGGGTTTTCTCATCTTTTCTGCTGAAGCTGTTTCACTTTGTGCAAACAACCTAACCATCTGTTGAGCTGCAGAGGTCTGCAGCCTGATAGGCAGGTTCTCTCCTTCCTGGGAGGTGACGCAGCAAGCATTGGTTCAGTCCTGTTCTAATCCTTGTTTATACAGGGTGGAGTTTTCCCTGCTCAGGTGCAACTCCAGTGGAGGATGGAGGAGATCTGAGCCTTCAGGTTTTGAAGGGGGAGAATGATACCAAAACCATATCTTTGTCATATCAGGCAGAAGCCTGGGCTATCCCTACCTAGTTTCCCCCCAAATGTCCTCCATGTTATTTAGCCATGGGCACAAATTTGTAATAATTTGTATTAATGATGCTACTCTTTCACTGCAAGGCCATTTGACACGTTGTTCATGAATGAGGGCTGGGCAAGTTCCAAAAGAATTACCCCTGAATGCAAACAGCTCAGAGCTAGATGGCAGAAACTCTTCTGCACTTAACACAGTTCCTTCGAGCTTTTCAGAATAATGTATGCATTTAAGTGAGTTCTGTGGAGAGAAACAAAGACTGATTTACTATTCTAAATATTTACATCTATATACCTTTGTTCTTAACTTAGATTAAATGTTTTGCATTTTTACGGCATTGGAAACTGTTTCAGTGGACTGATTTTTAATTATTTTTTCCACTTCAAGCAATATATAGACTTAGGTGCTCACAGTGTAATTTTTTTTTTTTTTAAAAGTAAATTAATGTGTTAAACAGTGGGTTCTTTGCTATATACAGGACAGTATATTTTTATCCTTGAAATATATGATACAGAAATCTGAATGGAGGAAGTTGGAATACCTGGCACTGGCCTGGCTAGCACAGAGATTTGATTCTGCAGAGCTTTTAAGCATGGTGGCATGGGCAGGTTGAAATAATCCCTGGCAGAAAAAAAGCTCCTCTTTCTCTCCCTCTCCCTTTTTCTCTGCCTGCCTGCCTCCCTCCCTCCTTCCTGTCTATGCATATCAAAGGCACAGTTGGTGGCAGTGTTTGGGTAATGCATCCAGTGTATAAAGTAACTAATTAGTAATAGAAGCTCCATGATTTTCTACAGATCTGGAAATCTCACTGTTGTTTTGCTACTACTACACATAATTGCTGTATCTATTAATAGCTGCTCATACTTACTGTACATTAGCTGGGTAATCACTGCCATGGTTTCTGTTAACTCCTAAAAATTAGAGCCAAATGCTATTTATTGTTGTAGCTACAGTCTCTTGAATGACTTCTTACCTCTTCCTAAAGAAGTGTATGGTTTGCCAGCCACAGTTGGATCCGTTTCGGTGCTGAAAGATACACTTGAAAGAACCAAATAGTTCAATGTGAAAAAACAGTAGCTTGCAAACACAGAATAAATTATTGTACATTGTGCTGAATAGCTATTCACTGCAGAGCTGAAATGTGTGCCCTGATATTGGTTTCACTCTATAGCTTACATTTCATTTGACTCATTTAAAAATGTAAAAATATTGCATTCATTCAGTACCAACAACTTGTTTGTCTAGTGTCTTTCACACAAATTCTGGGCTGAAAAACTCTATACAGAGTTCAAAAATACACAGTGGGAGAAATAATAGGAGAGGAAGAGAGAAATTCAAAAGAGTGACAAAGGCACTGGAGTGTTTTTAAATACTGCATTCAGTATTGCCAACTCCAAGTCTTCAAAATAAAGCATTAGACCCCCCAAAAACGAAGACATTTTTTAAAAATAGCAAATCTTGGGGGTTTGTCATTTGCTTGCTGGCATTTTAGTGCACAGGGTTTGCACTTCCAAACAATTTTATGAAACTACAAGCAACTTTCCTCAATTTTTTTTTTAAACTAAAGCTGAGCAAGGACTTTGATGGGAAACACTAAATACCCTGAGCTTCCATCACATGAAGTTTGCCAGCATTTAGGCCTGTTTTTATTACCTTGGAAATACTTATCAGTAGTAACTGCACTAAAGTCAATAGAAACTTTCCACTGGAAAACTGTACTCAGAAGAAAAGGGAGCATTTTGTGGAGATTCTTGAGAATCTAGGTTTCCACTGGGGAAGTCTTAGGTCAGTAACAAGGTGATCAGCCAGGGCTGCTGTCTTTATTGTGCTGCTAAATTGAATAGGATTTTACTTAACAACCCTTTGAGCCCAAAAGATTTCTAAAACCAAATTCTCTGTAGTAGTGAAGATCTCCGCTATTTATCCTTGCAAGGCTGAGGAAACTTGTTACTATTTTGATTTGCATGGATACATGAAACAAATGAAAAACTGAACGCTTCAGCTCCACCAACAGCCCAAGATTTCTTCCCCATATCAAAGGTGTTGCAATCACGTAAGTCCTTATTCTGTGCTGCCTTACCCAAGAACACAAAGGCGCACGTTCACCTCCCAGTGTGTGTGCTCCGCTCGTGCCAGTGACGACAGAAGCCATGCAGGCGTGGAGGGAGAGAATGAAACACAAAGACCATCCGGGTCACAAAGAAAAAGAATGTGCTCAGAGTCATTTTGAAAGCTGAATTGCCAGCTAGAATTGTATGAGGATATAGGGTCTTTCAAACCACTTCTTCTGCTCTTCAACAGTACGTTTGAGTAGAGAAGTTGGAGTAGGGGTAGTTATGCTTTGTTGTGGTAAAAGCTGGTATCCCAAGATAAACCTAACTTCCCTGTGAAGAAACAAATCTTTATGAAATTTGACTGAATTTGAAACTTGTTGCATCTTTTTCCCATGGAAGTGTTTTTCCTCAAAATGTAGTAATGGGGTTTTGAAAGGAACACATCTAGATGAGGCATTTTATTTTTGTCTGGCAGTAGGTGATCTCTGTTTCCCTCTCAGCTGGTGATCTTTTTCTGGTTTAAGCCAGCTGCTGGACTGGCTATTATTTTAACCTGACTACATTTGCTGTTGCCAGAGTTATTTAATGACTTGTATGAACATGTTTTAAATATTCCATGCAAGTCTAGATAAATGTAGAAGCTTTAAAAAAACCCCAACGTTGTATGATCAAATCCTGTCTGGAGCTATTACAGGTACTCCGTGTCATGGAGTCTATTGCATAAACTGACCAAACTCCATCTTGATACTTGTCAGTCTTCCCTTGCAGAGACTGTTACTCCTTTCAGGAGGACACTATGCAATGTCTTGGCTCTGAAGCTTTGCTCCTCTAATTTTGCCCTGAAATGCATCTATGGTCTCTTCTTACACATCTATTTCTGTGGCTCTAGGGCAAACATTTCTTCACCAACCCTGACATGTATCCTTCTGTACAAATTATGGAAATTTCTGCAAAATGAAGCCAGCCATGCATTTTTAGTCATTTAAAATCTATTATCCATTGCCCGCATCCTCCTGGTAATCTTCCCCATACCAGTTTCAACTTGTACTAATTTTTCTTGAACAAGGGTGACTTGCGTTACATGCAATATTCTAAGTAAGGTTTCACCAGTGCCTTGTGCAATAGTATTAGTAGTTCTGTTTCTTCAGAGGAACTATATAAATCAGAGTGTGATATAAATCTCTAAGGGCAGAACTTCTTGCAGCATGCTATTAAATTTCATTTTCATTACTCTGGTCTGTAGCATCACCCATCCTTCCTCCTAACAACATTAGCAAGTTCTCCATTTATACCCAAATCTTACTTGAGGATTTGTGGCAGGTAGCTATCCATATAATCTCCTTTCACTATTAATTTTTGAAGTGTTTTTTTGCTCCATTCACTGCATTTTCTTCTGTCCATACTCCTCCCTTAAGTCCTTTAGCCCTCAAGTTTTTCACATTCCTGTCATGGCAGTTAAGAGAGAGTATCCATGATATCTCCAGAGGTAAGCAGAGAAACAGGCCAAATGTTATACTGCTGATATGATTCAAACTGGTAATTAGGAAAAGATAATGTAGTAGGAGAAGTATGACAGAGCAAAGCTTTGGCACAAGTCTTTCCATTTAAGACATCCACAATTGCTGCTAATGCCTCTACGTTTGGCAGTTAATGGATGTCTCATCCAGTCCAGGCAATGCACTGGAGATACACCATCACAAGATTTAGAAGATTGTTTCTGCCTTCCTATTGATTAGTCTCTCATTTCTTTGTCCAGTGACACAGGTACCTCTGAAAATTCATACCAGTGCATGCCACTGTGGCAGCCAATGCGGGATTCTACTTCTGGCAGAAACTTATATCTGGTCCTTTAGATAAAAGGAAACAATTCCACTGTAGTGTAATTGTCTAAATGTTTCAATGTTAATGGAGGAGAAGAAAACTCCATCAAGTCCCAGCTCCCAGCTAGGCAGCCTCCTTGCACCCTAAACCACAATAACTGGTTGTATAAGCCTATATAAATCCAGGATTGGACAGAGTCTGCTAGTCCCCAGTTTTGCTTTGACCTTGAGCAAGAGAGATGCTTTGGTGATAGTAGCATATGGAGGCAGTCCTACTCAGTACTGTTTGTGTTGAATGCCGTAATCATTGGTTTAATGAGTGTATTGAGACAGTCAATGGCTTTTTTGTTTGTTCACTTTATTACCAGGGTCTTTTCACCTTATTCACTTGATGTTCGATGACTATGTATTGTACCTGCTAGAATCGCTCCATTGTCAGGAGAGAGCTAATGAGCTAATGAGGGCAATGAAAGGCGAAGGAAGCACAGGTGAGTTTGTTCTTTTAGTCATCTTTTGTTGTTTTGTTCCACTGGATTAATTATTTTCTATGTTAGGACATTTCTTTATCCTCATCTAACCCAGTGAGGCTTATCTAGGAACAAAGTGTTCTTCAGTTCTATCATTATTTGAAATAAGTCATTTGTGAGGGGGGAGTCCCTGGTTAATACATTCTGAAAGAGGCCTTCCTGGTTCATGATGTAATTCTGGGTATCTGAACCCTAAGCACACACTTGGTGTTTCAGTAAGAGATTTTTGTACTGAGCCTTTTACCTCAATTAGTCTGTCTAAGCCACCATTGTATTTCAGTGAACCCAGTCTTGATTCTCTCTCTCACCCTGGTTTAACACTAAATAAATTCATTGATATTAATGGATTTTACCAGTCTAAATAAGAGAGAGAGATGGGAGAAGTGAGCAAAGACAAAAACCGAAGCTATCGTTTCTGATATGCTTATGTTCTAAGTGCCTGTACAGAAGCAGATTCCGAGTCCAGTTCCACTCACTCTGCACTGACTCACCAGAACAGAAGCGAACACAGATTGCCTTTAGTCTCTCTGCTCAGGGCTGCCCCTTGTAATAAGGGATCCTCAGTGCTTGCATCTCCCATTAATTTTGGCAAGTTAAACCCCTCTGTCACCTTTGATAAGTTCCACCTTTCATTTTAGGTGTGGCTTAATTTATCACCCTGTAGATTTATGGGAAGAAGAACATTTCAGTGATTAGGGTATTATCTACTATGTGTTGAAAGACCTGGATTCAATTCATTGACCTGCCATAGCCTCTTGGGTTTTTGACAAACAAGTTGCTTATCCCTGTGTGCTTTCCACATAGCTTCAGCAGCTAGAACTATCCAGAGTGTCATCCTCTTTAGTCTATGAAGGTCATGGCCCAAAGCCACTGGAATCCCCTGGAGATTCCTGTTTCTTTCCAGTGTGTCTAGAAGGAATAGGAGTGCCTGACTGGACTCCTAATTTTAGATATCTAATAGTATATTACAGGAGTATAAACCTTAAGCTGCCTGTGCATAAGTTTCCTACCTATACAACAGGAAGAATAGCACTTTCCTGTAAAAGGTCTTATGAAGGTACACTGAAGGTTGTAAAGCTGAACGTTACAGAAGTGCTCTTTCAAAGGTTTGTGATTCCTGTTGTGCATTTCTTGAAATACAACCTAGAGGACTTAACTGATTGCATTAATTTTTTTTAGTTTTAGTGTTCCTTGTCTCTACCTTTAACTACGTTTGATGATTTTTCTCTCATCCTGCAGCAGAACTACGAGAAGAAATTATTCTGAGTGAACCAGCTCCTCCAACTCCCTCCCCAGTGCCATTCTCCCCAGCTAAATCTGCCACCTCAGTGGAAGTGCCCTCTGCCCCCTCGCCTGTCAGCAATCAGTCCCCAGAGTATGGTGTCATAGCAGCTACAACAGGTAGGTAGGCTTATGGCAGCTGGATCTGCCTGAAGATTACTTTTGTACTTGGTCACCTGAAATTGAGCTTGAGAACATGATGTGGCAGCTTTCAAGAGATGAGAAGCCTTCCCAAACAGAAATCTGTTTAATGTATCAGTTATGCCTTCTCACTGTATCCAAACATGATGTGCAATCAGGAAAAAGATCTGATGTTTGGAGCCCAAAGGCCTAACAGGAGATCCCAGACCTCAGCATATCAGAATCTGTTCTGTAGCCGAGGCCTTCAGAAGAGCAGACCTGTTTTAAAAATCAGTCCAATTTTTCATATTTCTAGCAATGTCCCAGAAGAATTATTTATGAATACAGCACTTTTAAGCATCTTCAATGACATTAAGGGCAGTCAGTCTCTCTGAAAAAAATTATATTCTTCAAGGAAATATGCCAGATATTTTAAGGTTTAGTGGGGTTTTCAAAATCCTGAACCATTAGTGGTCCAGGAATTCCTAGTGAGTAAAATGGGAATTGGATATCTTTCAACGTATTTGAGACCCAAATATGTTTAAATAGCTGTGGAAGTTTCTCTTGGGAATATTTTACACATTGTTGATAACTTTCCTCTTTCAGTGTTAGAGACTAGGAATTACATGTCTCTTCTCAGTTGCATACATCATGATGTAGTTGTGTGCTTGTAGGTATTAAGTTCGTGGGCAAGATTAACAGAAAACAATAAGCACAAACCTGGCTTCTTTCCATTATGGCAATTCATGGTGTAGTTGTGTGCTGGTGGGCCCACAGATTAAAAAATCTGTGCTTGTAGGTATTAAATTCGTGGGCAAGAGTAACAGAAAACAATAAGCACAAACCTGGCTTCTTGTTTATTCTGTATAAATGGGCAACCATCCTCTGTATCCTAATGTAAAACTCACTCATTACCTTTTGGATGTGGGCAGGACAATCTGTCTATATAATCAAAAGACTGTTTTCTTAACTCATGGTAAAAAAAAAGCAGAAATGTGAATGACTTGCAGAAGGCGTTCCAGGCAGTGAAATTCCAGCTTTGCTGCTCCTCAGTGAAATGGGTGTTTAATCAGAATGTGGAAACTATCACTTTTGTGATGTACTAGAAAAGTTACAAAACCTTCTTGAAAGAATGTCAGAAAGTGATGATTTACCACACTGGAGAATTTGGCAGTGGCTAAAGGACTAATAAATCTTTCTGACAAATGTATTTCATATTTTCAAAGGCACCACAGGGAAGCTCAATGCATAGTTGTGGTGGAGATTTAAGAATATTTGTCCCTACATCAAAACATAAGGTTTTCTCACTGTTGGAGACTATAGCATATTTAAGAGGGAAATAGGATAGTGTTACCCCCAGAATAGTTAGACAAAAGACACATGATTCCTAGACATGGCAAGTGAGCATGCTGCTTTGGTTCAGGCCACACTGGAGGTGTTGTCTATATTTTTGAGTCTGGAAACGTTGATTTTGTGGGTAACTTGCTCTGTAGACATTGTGGCCCAATAGGATCATTGTGATGTTATAACTGGAACTTAGTATGATGCAGAACTGTACCCAGAAGTAAGAGTGCAAAGTAGGGAATGATGTGCTCTCCAGTGGCATTGAAGGGAATGGAGATTGGAGGGACTTGTGTTTAAGCTGCAGACACCGTAACTCTGTGTGACTATCATAACTATTAACCCAAAGCTTATTCCATATGAATATAATAGCCTATTTGGGTTTCTATTGGAAAGCTATTTGGAAGCTATCTGGGCTTCCACCTTCAGGTTACTTGACTTAGGTACTTGACTAGGCACAGATCTGGGCAGGCCTGGGAACTGTACGGATCTTACACAGCCCTCCTGAATCCCACCAGTAATGCAAGGGAAAGGACTCACATGAACATTCAAATGCAATTCCTTTTTGTTTTCATGTTATTTATTATTGTATTATAGCCTGGTTTATAGTCTCTAATTTTTTATGTCCTGGTAAGGCCAAGGTCTGCTAGTTTGAAGTCTCAGGCCAGAAACAGGATCGTTTGGGAACAATGGTTGAAGGACCTACTCCCACAGCACAGGCAGGAGAACTTGACGTCATTGTTCCTATAGCAGAACTTCGTCGGCAAGAAAACTATTTCTGATTATTTTACCTCTCTGATTTTTCCAGCTTTTCATTTTTAGGTTGTTTTAAAAACTTTTGTTTGGTTGAATTGGATTTTATTCTTACAGTCTGATGCAGTCTCACTTTTGCCAGTGTGAAAATAATTTTTGCCTAAGACAAGCCAAATTTGTCAATGAGAGTAGTAGTCTGGTTAAGATTAAATATAAGTATGTGTCTATTTCCTGGTCTTAATTTGGGCAATTAGTAATACTCCATTTCCCATGTTTATCACATAGATGAACTGATCACCTTTTCAGTTTTGCTAACCATTCCACCATGGAATGCAGGGTTCATTCACATAAAGTAATACAAAATAACAACCATGTTTCAGCTATAGGAAATTGCTATACTTTAAAATAGGAGTGCTGAAGATGTATTAGATATAATCAAACTATTCCATATACAGATCTGTGGCATTAATATATAGAATATTTTGGAACAGAAACCTCTCTTCTGGAGAGATATATTTAAAGTACGCTCTATTGATTTTATGTGTCTCTTATGAGGTAAATGTAAAACTCTGCAAATGCATTGCAAATCTTGAGAACTAGTTCCATTGGTTACCACTAGCTCTCAGTTCCCCAATTTAAGGCAACATTAACTGTTTCTTATCTGTGGCATTAGCAATAAAAGTTAACTATTAAACCTGCATTTTAACGTTTTTGCCTTCAGTCAGTGGTCAGCACAAAACCAGCAAATTAAACTGTTGCAATTATATGATACTGAGCAAAAAAGAAAGGTAAATCCGATATATAGCATTCTGTGGTAGAACATCTGGCATGGCTCAGCTAACATTTTGTTTAAAACTTTTTGTTAAGTTACTAGACATTTAAAAGGATAATTAGTCTCCATCCTTTCTAAATCACAAAGGCCAGATTAATGATTGTTCAAACTGCAACAATATTGTAATAAAAGTGATAGCTATATGGCTGACTATGCTATTCTCTCTAAAAGCCCCTCTTAAAGCTGTGATTACTCATTTGCCAATGCAATGTTTTTTAGACCACCCAAAATTAACTCTGAATTGTAAATAGTTCCTAATATGTTAGTAAACTAATCTATGCAGTTTACTGTTTAGTTTCAAGAAAAGTATGTGTGAAATAATTCTGCAGGTCAGCAATGATCGTTTAAGGTCACTGTTCTTCCAAGTCTAGGCTAGGTATTAGAGTTCTGGGAATCTGGCACAGGAGATACTGGCACAGAGCTACCACCTCTCATATTCGTGTGTGTGAATACAGCAAATTTCTGGGGTTTTTTTAGAGCTTCAGCTCCTGGACTCATATGAATATATGAGAACATCAGCTCCTGTTCAACAATCAGGGTTTAATTCTCATAGCTGCAGAGTGTAAAAGTCAAAGGTTCCAATTTCAAAAGGAAATTCTCCCCTTCCAAATGGAAGGGTTTGTGTGTTTTCTAAAGCTGATAGTTAAGATAATCTCTTCGCTGTGTGGGGACAGAATGAGGGTCTGACTCCAGATTTCTGATTGCTTGAGGCTGACAGTACTGCTTACTATCAGACATAATACACAGTGAGTGTCTTGCTGGTACCTGTGTGGTCATTTACTCCAGCATAAAGCAAATATAAAATGCAGCATCATGAAGCAACTTTTGTTTTTTTCTGCGCTGGTGTACATGATGGCACCAATGACAGTGGGGCCGTTGTTGGACTGGTAGCAGTTACATTTATATTTGGCTCTCCTACAGGTCAGATTGCCTCTTGGTTGGTATCCTCAAAATCAAATTTTTCGTTAAAAGAGAAAAGAAAAAGGAGTGATAATAAATGAACTTCCCTATTTTAATCAAACCCTGCATGTTCAGAACACAAAGCAGAGCATGTTGCTCAATCACTATTGTTTTTGCTTATTTCAGAAAGCAGTTCAGTTGGGTTCAGTCATATCTAAAAGAGACTTCATCTCTTGGAGTTCAATTCTGGAGGCAGCTGAGCAAGCTAATTATATAGGGCTGGGACATAGGCAGGTATTAAAAAGCTATCTATGAAGAACTTTCAAACTTAGCTCATTCCTCCTTTTCCACCTACCACAATGTTGGCAGTATCCTGGCTGGCCAGATACATACATATACACATCTGCAAATCTGTTGTCTTCTTCTATCCTTCCTCTCTGTCTTTGTGACTAGGTCACTGAAAATAACGGCATCCCTTCCACAAAGGCAAACAGAAGTAAGGCAACTGTAGATTCCCAAGAAAATCCCGAAAAAAAATATTTGAACAGCTTTCTGTCATTCTGTAAATCCAGAGTAAAACCCAACATAATTTGTTTCTAAATCATAACCTCCAAAAGAAAGTGAATATTTCCTAGAGCAGCTGTGTAAAGTACTATCCTATAGTACCAGGGACAATTCTTGGTTAGGAAAATTAAACAAAGATATTCACAACTCTTCCAGTGCAAGACCTATTCTCTGCATTTGTTTCTGTGTTGTCTGGACAGGCACAAAGTATGTCAAACCCTAAACATTTATTTTAAAATTGAATTTGGGTAGCTGCCAGTTAGACTTGAATGCCAGGAGTGGCCAAGTCCTCTCATCCAAGGAGTTTGACTTTCCACAGGGAGCACATGAGACAACTTGCTGTCCTGGACTGACTTATTTTCCTCTGACTGAGATAAGAACCCTACTATTTTTCAAAAAAAAAAAAAAAGAAAAGAAGGCTGTCACAATGGCTGGGGCCAGTCAAATGAACCATATTTGGTAAAATGCAAAGGATCTTTTGGCCCTGTTATTGTTACTTCTTGTTAAAGCTAGGAAGGTCGTGAGATTTTTGGCTCAATGGCCAATTTTTTTCTTGGAAAAAATAAAATCAGGTCAAAGTAAAACTTTTGGTTTATGGTGAATTTAAAAAGTGAAAAATAAACAGTAATATTACCTAAAAATAAGTATTTGGGGGTTTTCACCATCTTTGTTGTCCTTCTTTTCTTTCTTTTCTCTTTGGTTTTTGCCTTTGGAATTTAGACCTGTTTGGAAACAAAGTTTCAGATTTTCTTTTGGAAAATAACAGTAGGAAAATATATTGACCTTTTGAAATTGAAATGTTTCACCAAAATATTCTGCAGACAAGTTGTAGATATTTTCAAAACTGTTTTTCTCTTGTTTCCAAATGAAGCTATTTGGTGACCGCATAAGTAGTTTTGGGCCCTTCCACATAAACTGTATTTTCTAGTGAAGGTAGGCTTCCTTAAACACTTTTCCTCAACTCAGGGAACCATGACTACTCATAGCCACAGCAGCACTGTTGTCCTAGCTCAAATGTTTATGCTCAGGGATCTCAGTGGTCCTCTTCAATGGGAGGACATGAAAGACTGAAAATTCAAGAGTGACAGAAAATGCGGGCATGTGAAAACAAGTCTAGCACAAATATCCTTGCTGGTAACAAATCCAGGGATGTCTCCAATCTAAAAGCACCAAATCACACCCTGCTGGAGTATTTCAAGCTGAACGTAGCTTGTGAAGCTCAGAATGCCTTCATTCACACCCAGAATTAAGCATTTCCCATTTCAAAAAATGATTTGTAAATGATTTGTCTGACTTTGCCAAATAATATCACACACACCTGAAGAAAATTATGCACACTGAGATAGGCTTTTCATTCCCCAAAGCCATGGACTGGACATAGACCTGGTAATACAATCACTTCCCCCTCTGAATTAGGCCCTTTCATGCTCCAGGAAGTCCTAGAATCCACACTGAAAAAAACCAAGTCACCTCCTGCAATTCCTTTTAGCTAGTGAAAAAGAGTCAAGAGTGCCCAGAGACCCCCAAACTAGTGTTCGCATAGGGTTAAATTCAGTGTTCTGGTCCTCATTTGCAGGGTAATCTCAGCCAGTATGGTCATGACCTCCAGCAAGAGCTATGTTATACTGGAACAATGGATCTGTCACCCTCCTGAGTGAAAGGGGTGTGTGCAAAGGACAAAGGTTTCTCAGCAGCTGGCTCATGAATCTGGAGTTCCTGCCTGGAAGGGATCAGGATGATTAAAAAACTCAGCACCTTCCAAGCAAAATGGAAAACCCACTTCTTTGCTTTGCTCTTCCCACAAATGCTCTACATGAACAAATAAATTAAGTCCAGTCCCTGCCACCTCGAAAGAAGAAAGAAACATTATTTGTGGGAAGAAAACAGCTAGGCTTTTTCTGTCTATGTATTTGTTATAATTTGGACATCTACCACTGAGTTGCCACTACAAAGGCTAGTACCTAGTTGGGTGGAACAGATACAAACTGCAAAGGGATTCCAAGAAATTAATTTGCATAACACCCATCTTTTTCTAACCCTTCACTGTTCTGATCTGTTCCTGCCTCACTCCCAGCCTGATCAGCCTCAGAGGTAAACGGGCCAGCAGCCCACTCCATGTGAGAGAGACCTCGGGGTTTTGTGCATCATGCCTGAGAAATATTAGCACTGGTGTTCCTCCGTTTCTAAGTCCTATCCCAGTTTTTCTGAAAACCAATAGCCTCAAATTACAATACCACTCTAAAAGTCTGAGCTATTCCAGATATTTCCCTTACCTTTGGATCTTTGCACACTCCAGCTGATCTATTTGTATTTTTATTTATGCCTCAGACATAACTGTTGTGTTCACTTTGGTTGATGCTGTTTCCATTATCAGTGCCTATTAGGTTGCTTTCCTGTCACCATCTCAAAGAGACAGCCCATGTTAGCTGTATTCCTTTAATACTTGTTTGTCTGCAGGAGCTATGCAATCCTATACATGGTCACTCACCTACACTGTGACAACAGCTGCTGGGTCACCTGCCGAAAATTCCCAACAGCTGCCCTGCATGAGAAGTCCGCATGTGCCATCATCATCTGTCACACACAGGATACCTGTTTATCCCCACAGAGAAGAACACGGGTAAGTCACTTCCCAGTGTCTTGGGGCGGGTGTGTGTGTGTGTGAGGGGGTTGTGGGTTTTGAATGAACCTATGCTTAGGGTTTTTTTGGAAATGCAGGGAAATTTGTTTTTTGATGTAGTAAGTCTGTATTCTAAAGATGCTTGCATCATTGTTCTTTGGCTGTTGTTAGTGGTGTGTGACTATATTATGTCTCACTTTTATAAACTCATTTAGTTCTACTTAAAAGCTCAGTAGGTCTGGAGAATATTTTATAAAAGAGAAAGCTTCAGTAGATTTCTTCTCTGATTCCTGTTTTCCTGTGCCATGTTCTATCCCAAAGGCTAGATGTGTCCAAAGAACTATCCTACTATACCATGTCTCAGGAGAGGTGATCCTTCTCCTCTGCTCAGCACTGCTGAGACCACTCTGGACCACTGGATCCAATTCTGTGCTCCCTAGTATAAGACAGACACAGGCATACTGGACTGAGTCCAGAAAAGGGCCACTTAGATGATTACAGGACTGGAGCATCTGTCATACAAAGACACACTGAGAGAGCTGGGATTGTTTAGCTTCATGAGGAGAAGGCTCAGGGAGGTCTTATCAATGTGTATAAATACCTGGTGGGAGACGTAAAGAAGATGGAGACAGATTCTTCTCAGTGTTATCCAGTTACAGGACAAGAGACAATGGGCACAAAATAGAAATAGAAGAAATTCCGTTCATTCAAACATAAACAAACAAACAACTTGTTTTACTGTACACATGATCAAACACCGGGATGGGTTGCCCAGAGAGGCTATGGAGTCTCCATCCTCGCTGATATTGAAACCCCATCGAGACATGATCCTGGGCAGCCTGCTCTAGTGGACCCTGCTTTGAGCAGGGGCATAGATTAAACAATCTCTAGAGGTCTCTTCCAACCTCAGTGATTCTATGAGTGCTGTTAAACCTGCAAATCAAAAATGTCCCAAGTTTGGAGAAATAGCCACATTTTCACCACAATCTAATCCCATCTCCGTCACCAAAATTTGCTCAAGGCTCTCTATTAAAATAACTACAGTAGAAATTCATATTAACATTATTTGATCTTGGAAAACTTCAGAAACTCAGACTAACTCTCTCAGTGCTCTTTTCATCAAGCAACACTTCTGTGCCATCCTCATTTAAGTAAGTGTATAACTCATAGACATCCATAACTAAAAAGAAACAATCACAAAATAATTCGTGGAGAAGGGCCAGGCACATAGCAAGATTAGCAAATGCCCAGATTCTGAGATGAATCAAGACATTCAAAACACTTTACCAAGTTCCTCAGTCTCAACGCATATTCATTACCCTTGCAGAAGTGCTTTCCCAGTGTGGAAAATTGTATACTGTTTGGTATGGTGACGGTAGATCAATTTGAATCCTGCATCTCCTCCCCTCTTGGATGTGGACGGGTTTGGATATGTGTTGAAATGTCACTGCTAAGCCCTTCCTGCAGAAACCTGGATATGGAGATATGGAACATCTTTCCTATCCAGCAATATGACTACTTGGTGGAGACAGAAACAGGGCAGCAGGGAGGTTCAGGACTTAACAGGATGCAAGAATTGGAACAGACCACAGTAAGGTAGTGAATGTATGTATAAGTACATATATGTATACACACATGAGACTTCATTATTACTAAAGGAATCTCTTGCATAGTATAGCAAGCAATACTAACATAGATTTGTGAAACTGGAGAAGAGCACAGGGCTCATAATCTACTCTAGCTCACACCAGTAAATCTTCTAAATCCACAGAGATACTCCCCACAGGGGTGGAGTCTCGGGACTGGAAATGGAAGATCTGTGGTATTAATAGAGGAAAATATCCTTATACCTGGTTGGAATGTCACTTGTTCCAACTTGTGTCTGTTGCCTCTCACCCTATCACTGTACTTTGAGAAGAGTTTGACTCTAGTCAATCCATATCCTCCTGTTACGTAGTTGTAGATCATCCCTTTGCCTCTCTTCTTAAGGCTCAGCAAACCCAGTTCTCCTCCTGTAAGTCATGTGCTTCAGTCCCCTATCTGTCTTGATGGCCCTCCACTAGACTTGCTCCAGTATGTCAATGTCCTTTTTATAGTGGAGAGCTGAGAACAAGACACGATACTCCAGAAGTGGTCTCCCAAGGGCCAAATAGAGAGGAATAATCAGCTCTTTAGGCCTGCTGTCTACATCCCTGCTAATACAGCCCAGTATGTAGCTGGTCGTCTTTGCTGCAAGGGCATGCTGGTGACTCATGTTCAACTTTTTGTCCACCAGCAGTTCCAGACAATTTTCAGCAAAGCTGATTTCTCTCCAAATGGCCCTAATCTGTACCACTGCAGGAGTTATGCCATCCCAGATGCAGGACTTTGCATTATTCTCTGTACGAACAATTGACCGTTCATTCTGAATCATAGCTGCTAGACTGTTGAGTAACTGTTAGTTCCCAGCTGGACTTCCCCAAGGAAATGCCGTCTGTGCATTATCCTCACTACTCAATAGCTATAGATGTGGTTCAGAAGGCACTGTAAGACATGGTACTTGTCAGAAAACATTTTTGTTGGATTTTTCAGGTACATTTTCTTCTTATAGAGATGTAGGATTCCTCAGCCAAGCACTTTCAGATAGGCAGAAGAATACTGGCCTTGAAGGAGCACGGTCATCTCCTTCTCAGGTCCTCAGTGCTCATTATCCTGAAGTTGAAGAGAGAAAGAGGAAGCTTTCTGGACCAAAAGTACACAACAGAGATTAGGATAAGAAACTTTATAACTCCATGCTCAAGTGAATTAAAATGCTATATTTTCACAAAAAGTGATGAGTGTTTGGAAGAAGGAGGCAAGATCAATAGCTTCCAAACTAGGACACAGCATCCTTAATGACTAGAGAAAGCATGAAGTGCAAACACTGCCTTACAGGACTTGGCTCTGTTTGGGAGTCCAAGGGCACCCCAGATTACAGGAGGGACTAGATAGGTGAGCATCTTCTTCAAGCAGAGAAGGCTGCTTACGCAGACTGCCAAAACCAACTGTTACAGATCTTACTTACCAGTCCATTGTGTTGAAGGAATTATAATGCAAGATGTCTGCCTACCTCAGTGTGCCACAGCTCCATAACATAGCCATTCCTCTCTCCCCCGCTCTCTGCAGAGACACTATCAAAGTCGTATTATGTGGACACCAGCTTGTCTGAAGTAGAGTATGGAAACCACTCATATTTACAGCTAAGCCCAAGTGAATATCATAATGAGAGCTCAAAGTTGAACAAGGAAGATGAACATAGGTCCTTATGTCCTGAAAAGTTTTTTAGAAGGGGTGCTCTGCTTTGATTTTGAATCTACTGGATTGTCTGGTATAAGACATGACACAATATGTCCAGAATATCATCATAAGATCAAAAGAGTAACAGAAATTTAAACTGTACCCAGTGTAAAAATTACATTGAACCTTCCAGAAAAAGAGTAAATCTGTACAAATAACTGTGTTCTCTCTCACACGATGAATTAGTTACCTTGTTTGTTTGTTTATCGTGGGTTGTGTTTCATTGAGCAGGTCCAGAGGAGGGCCACAAAGATGATCAGGGGGCTGGAGCACCTCCCCGGTGAGGACAGACTGAGAGAGTTGGAGCTGTTTAGCCTAGAGAAGTGAAGGCTACGGGGAGACTTTATAGCAGCCTTCCAGTACTATAGCAGCCTTCCAGGGGGCCTACAGGAAAAGTGGGGAGGGACTCTTTATCAGGGAGTGTAGTGATGGGATGAGGGGTAACAGTTTTAAACTGAAAGAAGGTAGATTTAGATTAGATATTAGGAAGAAATTCTTTATTGTGAGGGTGGCGAGACACAGGAAGAGGTTGCCCAGAGAAGCTGTGGATGCCTCTCCCAGAAGTGTTCAAGGCCAGGTAGGACGGGACTTCGAGCAACCTGGTCTTGTGGAAGGTGTCCCTGGCCATGTCAGGGGAGTTGGAACTAGATGATCTCTAAGGTTCCTTCCAACCCAAACCATTCTATGATTCTATGATTTCAGTAGCATTACTTTAAGAACCTTTAACCTTCTATGCTGAATTAGCATCAAATGTTCTCATGGCTACACAGAAATGGGGAGGTTGCAGAAAGTGTCCATGCATCTTTTGCTGGTGAATGGCCCAAATAATGGTGGCCAACAAACACTGACCCTGCAGTTTCTTACAGCCAAGGAAACTGCTCCCTCCTTTACCCCTGGCTGTCCCTAGATAAGGGGTTGGAGTAAAAACCAAGAAAGTAGGCAGGTTCTCCAACCTCAAATCCTACTCTGTTCTTGAGTCAGCTGTGCTAAAGCTGTACATTGTATGCTTCAGATGCAAATTAATACATCTCTCTCCCTCCCCCAAAAGGGACATCTGACCCCAGTGCAAGGAGATAGCTGAACTCCTCAGTGTAGTCCTTTAAGTCAAATCTTACCATACTTCCCCAGCCTGGATAGCAATTTACTAGGAACATGGCAATGAAATAATAACAAAAGGGAAAGATGGTTTCTCCTTAGAAAGTGCACAAATGAGTCTGTAATTTAAAACTAGTCACAGAAACATGCTGAGCCTCTCTGTTGTTGTGCTGAACACATAATTTCACTAAGTGGCATCTTCTCCCCAGCTGAACCAGGAAATATCTTTTTTTTAGAAGGTTATTTAAAGTATTGTTCTATTCAAAAAAGTGCAACTGTATGTTTCATAAAAGTTCCAGAATTATTAGTGGGAATACAATTATTATGCATACTAAATAGTGTTTTTAAATGGATTTTAGATACACAGGAAGTTACAACTATGGTAGCTATAGCAACCAGCATCCCCATCCAATGCAGAGCCAGTATCCATCCTTACCACATGATACTGCTATTTCTGGACCGCTTCACTACTCAGCTTACCACAGAAGCTCTTCGCAGGTAAGTTGGATTTATTACTTGACAATGCTTGCTATAACATTTTAAGTAAAGTTGTGCTTGTAAATTTACCAGCATGTTAGCTGTCTGAATCAATAAGCTGTCACCAATCTAGTCATTGATGGTCCCTAATATTTTTTTCTAATATTACCTAGTTATCTTTTCATTGTGGTGGAGATTCTTTTATCAGAAGTAGCTTTAGATTGTGAACTTGAAGTACGAACTCTAAAATCCAGCAGTCTGGATCATAGAAAGTGGTTCTGTGTTAAGGAATAGCTAAACCAAAAGTGAATATAATTAGTTGTATGTTTCTTAGGTGTTGGGAACAAGAAGAGATTCCGAACAAGAAATAAAAGTGTTTTCATATAGTTGAAAGAAGATGCAGAGCCTCTGCTTTTGAGAATACATATGTTTAGGAACTTGCCAAAATTGTGAGTTCTGCATATAGTTTGAATAACTTCAGGATTCCGCTGCAAAGAGGTTCTGTTTAATCTGTGTGCTATAGTCTCCTACTATAACACTGAGAAATTATGTCAGTAACTATTTCAGGACTATTTCACTTCATAAAACTGAGCCAGTAGGAACTAGCACAGATTAAGTGTAAAGATGGTATCTGGCAACAGTTCAAAGGTAGTGCCACTGTAGGAGGGCTTTAGTACCTCATGCAACTGGTGCTTCCGCAGTGAGGAAGCTGCTCCTTGGGCTCCCTGCTGGAAGATTTGCAAAAGGCAGGTACAGGCAGGAGGACATGGCATTGGGTTATTCCACCCACATGGCACCTCTTATGCTTTATCTACTGCAAATTTATACAAGTATATTAGGGACCACCATGCTTAACTATCACCACTGGACTGCAACAGTTTCATACCAGATGCAAAGACGTGAATTTGATAGTGCTTTGGACTAGAACACACAAGACATGCATCTCATTCTGGTCTTTGGCATCAGTCTGCCAGGTGATCTCAGAGTAGTCATTCCTCCTTTTTATGCTTCATCTTTCCTAGCTGTAAGATAAGAATAATGGTATTGATCTCCTTAAAGCTTTTTGAGATCTGCTGGGAAGATTGTCCTGTACAAACCCAATATGGACCAGCTCAACAATAACTCCTTAGCTTACGGAAAGAACAAGTCTACAACTTCTCATCCATTTGTGTAGCACCTGGTCCATCAAGACTACATGAGGTGTCAGGATTTGTTTGAGGGTTGTTGCAGCTGCTGTATTTTCAGTAGGAACAGTGAGTGAAAGTTTAAGTACCATGTGATGACAGGTTTGTATTCGTTGTTTTTTCAGTACAGGCCTTACCCTATTATCTCAAGATTTTTTCCAGAATACATCACTTTTTGACTTAAAATTGGCTCACCAATTTTCTTTACTCTCTCTTATCCTTTACTGTAGAAAACCCGTGAGTGCTGGTTCTGAAATGGTCTGTAAGGTCATGAATCTGTGTGTAAAACAGAGAATTAGGCTTTTACTGCTTAGAAATGTTATCACATACACACACGAAGAGTTTCTTGCTACTCTCTGACAATTGTCTGTCACACTGACATAGACAGCACAAATTAAGCAAGAAATAAATAAAGGAAATCAAGATCAACACATTTTTAGTTTACTTATGTCCTAGTTAATATATTATATGGAAATAGTAATATACATTAAAATCACGCAAATATTTTTCATGCTGTAGTAGGCTCTCTACAAGTGCAAATGCCAGATCATTTCTTCCCCTCTTGCTAGCCTTTGAACTGTCCTGAACATACATGAAGAACAGCTATGTTTTAATGATCACACTTGAGAGCAAAATGACTTCAACTTGTATTTAGCATGTTCTTTCTCATGCTGCTTGTAAATGAGATGGAATCTCACAGCAGGACACAGCTAACAAAACCCTATCAACGCTCTCATTCTGTATCGGAAGGAGCTACAAACTGCAACCTTACTTTCAAAAATGATCTAAAAGTCTTGAGCTGTTTAATATGGAATTGACGGACATTCTTTTTAAAGCTAAGTGAGTTTCTGTAAAATGCCTGCCCTGATGATAAGTCCTCTCCTAGCTACTTTTAACCAAAAAAGTTCGTAAGATATCCCTAATAAGATGTTAGGGAACTACTATGATTCTATGATTCTACTCTTTTTCTAGTGGAGTTTCTGAGGGGAACACGGTGCAGGGAACAGCAGCAGGACTCATGATGTTGCAAAATCAAAATACAGGAAGCCAAACTTGCAATGAATATATAAACAGCTGACACTATACTGAAACCGGAGGAGATGCAATGTGTATGGCTGTGGTAATATAATCAGTTGAGAAGAGGAGGCATTGACCATAACTCTTCAAAAGAACTCTTTGTTATGAACTACATTCAGTCCAAACATAGAACTCTGGCTCAACTTTAGCTAATAGTCTATCATGCTCTTTAGGATAGCATCTAGGGATTAACTCCTAAGAAAGAAAATCTGTATGTGGGCTAAATTCTCCTGTACAAATACGGATTCAGAGAGACCTTGTCCCAGACAGGGGTCTGAGTCGAAACAGGCGACATGTAATCAAGGTGGGTTTTAGGCTGCAGCTATAAATTACTATTTTTGTCCTGAGGAGCACCGTGTCCAACCTCTTTCTGTGGAAGAGAGCAGCATAATCCAGGTTTTATCAGGTCAGTTATTTTGAGGCTATTTTACATCCCAGAGAAATGTTCCTAAAGAAAAATGGAGAGTTGTGCTTGATATTTTGTTCCTTTGTTTAGCAGAATTTTAAGATGGATCATTTCACAGATACTATTTACAGACCATCAACAACAAAAAAAAAAAGTGGAATTGGAGCAAAGGGGATGGAGGGAATAATTTACTTGGTGGAAGTGGGGAACTGAACAATTGGGAAAGGGGAAGGGAATGAGTGACCCTTGAAACTTCATTTGCCAACACGTAGCATGTTAATCCCAACCTGACAATACAATGATGGTTGCATTGTATTAATTTTAGGATGTCTACCATGGTTTTGTCATTGGAATCCTTAGAGTGGGGCTCTGCTGGGGAAGAAGCCACACAGCTGTAGATCTTGTACTATGTACAGCTCTTGAAAAGTGCAGGTGGGGGTCCCACGCCAAGCCTAACTCACCTGACCAGTGGCAAGTCCATGTTAGTGAGAGGCTTCTGGCTAATTTGAATGCCCTGGTATTAGAGGAAATGGGACAGTGACAGTGGTAGTTGCTAAGGCTGATACTGCTGACGCACCACGTGTCACAGCTGCATGCTCGCTTACACCCCATCCTGTAACAGACTGGTGAGAGCCCTTGAGGTGGTTGTTATCTCCCATCTCTGAGACAGTCTTGGAGCTTACCTTGGCTCACAGAGGAATGTGATAATTGTCTTGTGACTTTGGCCTAAATAATAGCTCATAGTTTCATAACAATCAGTGGTTCTCAAATGGACAAAAAGGCAAAAAAAAAGGAGGGGATGGCTTTATAGGGGAGTAAATGTTCTGCTGAAGTAATATCTGCAGCTACTAACCCAGCATAAGCCTAAAACTGGCTCCTTCTGGCAGTATAGGCTAACTAATTCCCACTGATGGCTAAGAGTCTTTTTGTTGACACAGACAGTCTGTTCAAACCTTGGTCCTAATCTGAATTTTTTTTTTCTTTCATCAGCATCTGTGAATAGTTCTCGAAACAGTTGCTTCCTTGTAACTCCAGGCTTGATTGCTCATTTCTTGACTTGGCTTACTGGCCAGGAGCCTAGCACTCACATAAAGAAAAATTATCTACAGATTGATTTGTTACTATCTAATTCTCTAAGCCATAGTGCAGAAGTGCATACAATCCTATGATGCTACTCTGTCACCATATAGAAAGGGACTGTGTAATGTGTGTACATAAATATGTCTGTACTGACGCTATGTTTTGTCAGTTCTCTGCCTCTGCAGTTCTATGTACCAGATGTGTCAGGGTAGAAAATAGACAACATCTCTGTCTAAAAGCCTCTGAGCCCTCTTACCAACCTATGTTGAGTTTAGCAGAGAGGTACCTCCTTCAAAGGGAGTCACCCCTTCACAATGTCACCACCTAATCCACCTCCACAATGTACGCTTGACTGGCTTTTGCTCACAGCTTTGTCTGCAAGTTTCACCCTGGCTGGACAGACCTGATCTTCTTTCATGTTATCCATAAATATTTCCATTCATGTCATTCCACCTCTTCCTTAAACACAAAGTAATTCATGCTGCAGAAATTTTTCTTTGTAAATCACAAGGATAACAACTTTAGTAGGAAGAGTAATTAGATAAATCTGCAGCAGTATATATTTTTATATTTTAATACATCTGCTAACATACAAAGATGAACATCATATGAATATGCATCACTGTACACGCAGTATGAAAACCGGCAAACATATGATATATATGTGTAAGTACTCTCATGCATGGCTATAGTGAATCATATTGCAGGTCCGTTTATCCAGGTCCTATCTCCAGCAATTGCCAGAAATGAATGCATGGAGGAAAAGTCTGAGAAATAGGGTAAGTAGAGTGGTCCTTTACACCAGCATAGCCACGCTATCTTTGGCAAGAGCTGACCTAGGGACATCCTGAGCAGGAAGCAGCAGCCAGACTGTTGTAGGGACAGCTGTGACAAAAGGGGTAAGGGTTCTAAACTAAGAGGGTAGGTTTAGACTGGATATAAGGAAGAAATTCTTTACAATGAGGGTGGTGAAATACTGGAACGGGTTGCCCAGAGAAGTAGTGGAGGCCCCATCCCTGGAAACATTCAAGGCCAGGTTGGATGGGGCTCTGAGCAACCTGATCTAGTTAGCGGTGTCCCTTTTCACTGCAGGGGGGTTGGACTAGATGACCTCTAGGGGTCCCTTCCAACCCAAAACATTCTATGATTCTATGACTTTGTAGCAAACTGCTCTCCATTACCCTATCTTCAAGCTTTTTAGTTCTTTTACCTTTTTTGTACTTACAGACTTGGGGATGGTTTGCATGAAACTTATATTCTCTTGTTAATTTTAA